TTTCGCTCACCAACAACCCTGAGGTCAAATGGATCGAATAAGTTCTGCCTACAGAGAGAAGTGATCATGCAGTCTTCGTTTTCAAGTTTATTACCGCACTGGTGCATCCTAGGATATCAAATGCCGGCATTTAGGCAATTAACTCTACGGCCCTAAATAAATTTTGAAGAGAGGAACCTAAAACATTGGTGCGAAACGTATAGAGTCACTTCCTGTAGCTATACAAAGGAGCGGCAGGTGTAACTGAATATTACAAATCTATCACAGATAAATGCATGGACACGGTGTATCACTCGGTGGGAAAACCGGATCGACTGAGGCAAAGCTCCATCAAGCAAACGAAGCGACTGGTTTTAGATGGATATCACATAACAAGAACTGTTCGATGGATTTCAGTTTAATTGTGGAAGGGATCTCCTCAAAAGTAATAGGAGAAGACTAGGAAAAACCGGGAGTCACAGGAAACTAATTCAGAACAGCCATTACTCTTGAACCCCCTATTGACACATAATAATGTCTGTAAATAGGTTGCTCGCTTCGGGCTTCATTCAGGGTAGCGTACTAAGATTATAAAGCCACATAGATAAGAAAATCAACAGAGCTATTACGGGGTGTTGATTTTCTGTCCTTAGTACAAAATTCAAACGTCAATCCATCTTCACTTGTCATCGATCCGTCAGTTAAAATTATCTACGAAAATCCGACTATTTACGGTTGGGGTGAACTATTCATTTTTTGGGGTTCAGAACTCCCATTAGAACTTATCTTTGTCAATTACAAGGGCGTTACTCTTACCAATCTACGTAAATGATCTTCCTTATGAAGTATTTTTTGAGTTATTGTTTATGGGTGGTATCAATAAACTGTGGAGTGAAATTCGCAAGTTGAATATTGGAGTAGCGCTTCAAGAGCATTTTCTCAAGTTTTAAAGATGAATAGGGAACGATAAACCAACATCTAACCGTAAAAAGTGTACAGTAATCCAGTTGTGGTATCATGCGAATTGGGAACACAGTTAATATTGAGTCACAAAATAAGCATTGGTGTCAAGTTCAAACCCTACAAGGAACGCATTAGGGCAGCGAGTCTTTAGACTTGAAGGTATGAGAGACTCAATCATAACCTAATAATGACTCACAATGTGATAAGTAGTTTTGGACTTTCTCCGAAGCGTTCATTGAAGATCAGTCCCGGAATTTCTTCACATACGTAAGTGGCTTGAGCAAAATATTTTTTGCACAATTAGAATCATAATAGGTCTGAATATGTCAATGTCAAGTTATTCTTGATCAAGGTGAATTTGTATGATCAGTCACTGTATTCATTTGTGTGTCAGAATGTGGGTATGGAAAATGCGAAAAATGTATACTTTTGTAATATGAAGTGATGGGGTTGAAATTAGGTGTGTGGTGTATGTGGATCGTATAGAACGTTAAGAAGATCAAATGTGGTTTTTTGAATAAACAGTTCTGGTTGGATGAATGTTCGTGTCTTCTTTCCTATTGAGGGCATAGGGATTTAGCATTACGTAAAATGCTTCTGCTACTCACCTCTTTTTACGGTTGGAAAAGTTTTTCTGAATTATTTTGATGTTTTTAATATCAGTTTTGCGAATAATGAAAATAAGATGTACTAGTATTGAGGATTTAACATGTACACATCATTATTCTACAGGATTATCGAGAGGTTTTCTTACGTAACTTACGTGTTCTTGAGCATGAGTCATGCTCTCATGTGAAGACTCTCCAATATAGAACACATCATAATCGACACAACCTAATTTGTAAACACAATTTTGTGTATGAGTGAACGAAATCTTATCTTCTATTCTAACTAAAGCGTTTCTTAGGTTGTCGGTTGTCTTATAGAACACTTTGGTTTGGCAATTTTTCAAGATCTGTTGTAATTCTTCTGTCTCACCCTGGCGGTAAGACAAAAGCTTGATACCAATCCAAGAACCTTCACTAGGATTATTATTTACAGGACAGTTATGTTTTATCATGTTTTTAGCAATATTCTTAGGAAAATTAATAAATCATGTGATCATTTATTATATTCTCTTCTTCTTTTAGTTTGTCTTATTCTGAAGTAATGATCTTGGTTGCTCTTCTGAAAGGATTCAGGGCTAGAGAAATTTTCGCACTGAATAGATGCTGATTTGAATGTGTCGATTTTCAATATATGGCTAGATTTAGAATACCATTAAAATTCCTTTCAATTAAACAACCCAAGAAAGGTTGTTCACTATATTTATCTTCTTTTTCTAAAATGAATTCAACTATAACGTTCAATTAAGCTATTCCAATCAAGTTTATGATTATCTTACTAAGTATAAACTGCGTACTACGGAAAAAATTCTAACTCTTAATTTCAAAATCTTGCTAATCGAAGATAAATTACAATTAGGCATAACAGTTTATACTAGCTACAACAATTTACTCTTATACACAGTTGAAGTGAAAGAACATTTTCGTATTCGTCTAGTTTTCTCTACATATTGTAATTAGTTCAGATTATTCCATAATTTGTCTAAATCAACTGAGATCAGTAGTTCCCCCACTTTAAAATTAACCATTACTAAGGTTGTCAGTAAAGTTATAAAACCAGAATCAAAGAAACTAAAGCCGGCAGTTCGCTCTCTGTAATGCCCGACCAAAGACTGGAGCATTATGCCTATAACCACAAGTAGATTCAATGATTTTTTGTAACAGTAAAAATAGAGATCATATTTTTTCTTTGTAACCCTTTACATGTAATAACATGATTAAGATTTATTGTTTCTCTATATCAGTGGTAAGAAACGAATATAACTGTTTGATTTTAGTAATACATACGCTATCAAGATGGTGGAAAAGATTTGTAGCTCAGGTGAATGATTTTGATGGAATTTTGTTCTCTGAGCTGGATGGTTTGGTCGTGAGCGAGAACAAAACTGCATCAAAACATACGCTATCGCTATTATTAGAAATAAGCGCTATCCCTGTCGTCTGTTCTTCTACTTTTTGGCCACGGACTATGATTGAAGATTTTAATAGTGTTACAACATTCTTTTAGGCCATTCTACACTAAATTGGAGTTTCGAGCCAAGATAGGTTATCTACCATTCATTAGGATTGTCTTGTGAATTTCGATTCAGCTCCTTAGATTAGTGGCTGTATTGATTAGGGTATCTCTTAATTATTTGAAATGAACTTCTGTTAGTCACCATCACATGTTGGTGTAGGCAGTCGCCAAGTCTGTGTAACACGTACATCAGCCACTTCAGAGAATAAAAATTTACGGCTTCCTTAACCAATTTACCACATCTCTCTGGCACCCTATGTCCGTCTGCTTGTCCCATTAGCATGTTAGTAGTCCTGTGACTAAATATCAGCAACCTATACCATAAGACTAAGAGGACTGAAGTTCTGTGTGTTCTTCTGGTAGATAGACGAACATTTTCCTGTCACTGGTGAGAAACACTGAGGTCTTCGTATCCGTTCCAGGGCTCCATCAGCCAGTGAGCCCCTAGGGCTGATGGTTCTGACCCACTCGACCGTTATCTTGATAACAATTCACCATATCCCTAGGATCAAGCTCATATAATGGAGCGCAACAAATCGCGTTTTCGGAACGCTTGTTGAACCAGTGACAACTCGACTGTTTAGATACTCAAATTGCAGTAACGCTACTATTATCCATGCCATTGAATACTGCTCTGCGGTATTCGCCCAGACGTCTTGGATGTAAGCTTTGTGAACTAACAAGTACTTTGCTATCTTCTCATTCACAAGGTTCTCGTACCACACTGGTAATGTTATACGCGAGTGAGGGTTACTACCTGACATAATCAGGAACCGTTTACACTTAGGAATGATATGCACGCCAGGTCAATGGCCATCAGTTATAAAATACCTGTATATATTGAGGAATCCATGGGAATGTCGAGGATTCATACAGAAGCAAAATATTCGAGGTACCGAAAACTTTTGACGGTATAATCAGCATTCCCTATCCTATAGTTACAATCAGATCATTGAGCCTAATTATCTCACTTCACTGAGATCGTGGCTTAAATGTTGTGTGGATATCTTGGGCTGTCCTCATACCACATAGAGAAAGCCAGTGCTGTCCCCACTTAGTTGATACTATTACGTCCACTGAGACTAATGAAATACTTTGCATATCAACCTAAGGCTTTATGAACCAAAAAAGCTGTTTTGGTAAGAAGCATTAAGTTCGAGTTTGCAACTTAGAGAACAATGATTAGGGCTATGGAGATCCCATTAAGATGTGGTCAAACTGAGTAGGACCAATCTCTACACCTTCCAATGCTGCCCCGACTGTTACTGTTTATTTTAACACATAGATATTGGTACAAGGAGGCACCAAATACATATGCGCCACACAAATCTCATTTGACATGTGTGAGGACTGTGATACTGTCCGGGTGCCCAAACCGAAGCAGACGGTTTTCTTAGGGGACTACACCCCGAGCCTTCGACCTGAAGGTCTGGTCCATAAGGCAGTGAAGCATCGTAAGGAGATGTAGTCCCATGGTGGCCGGTGACCGACGACTGGTTCGTACGCCATTTGTTCTTTCAAGATACTGTAGCCCATGTGCACCATTGGTTTGCGATTCGGTTAAAGCGCCGGACATTCGCTTTTCTGTTACGGCTACCTTGACGTGGTGAATCAATAGAGCTATACGGGCTGGAACGATCGTTCCTCAAAGTCCTACCATGCCAGACAGATCCGTTGAGGAGCAGTAAATCCAAGGTCTAGGGGCGAAGTCCACCTCTAACCCAAAATCCTTTTCAGGTACCTATTTGAGATCATTCTAAACAGACGAGGTTTCGACCGACTAAACAAACATTATGCTATTTGAAACAATTCGTATCCAACAGATGTCAAGCCATACCGGTAGACGTTTTTAGAATCCCGAAGGCCTATCAGACGGGCAGAAGGTTCAACCTGAAAACATTTCTTAGTGAATGATGAATTTAAAAGACAAAGAATAGGCCAATTGTACAAATTTATTAACTAATGAATTGAACTGGCGGTTGATGCAATCTTTGGCCACATATCAGCGCATTCTTTAGCCACAGGACCGGTAATTGCCGAACCTGAAATGGAAAAAGTAGGGTTTACTTTACCGAATGACTGAACAAGTGAAAAGTTATGTTCTTTCCATTAAACGTCTTTAACGTTCCAAATTAACACGAGATAATGGCAAAAATCTTACAATCATTGTTTATTAAGGTGGAAATGAATTGTTTGCTTTGAAAAGTATGGAAGATTGTATGCCTACGCGAAACTGAAGTTCAAACAACTCGTTAGACTAGCACGTAAAACTACTAATCAGTTTGTAAGTGCTAACAGTACTTTAGGGCAGGTGTGTGAGGCCATTAGGCCTTATTATTTAATGAAAATAATATGCTTGAGATTTTATTTAGTACAACAATTTACTGAACGTAACCAGTAGTATTACAATCAGTAGAAGATTATCTGTTATCGCTGCGTGGACTATCTCTTCGAAGTATCTAAATAGATTACTGGCTATTCAAGCATTACGGTTGTTAATGAATGCTTTGAACAGTAATCGTTTACAAACTAGGCACCCGACAGCACGAAAATGTGAAGGCACTCACAATTTTGTCTGGGTTAGTAATCCTCACTGAATGCTCACCCGAACCAGATAAATCCTGGTAAGATATGACTTTAGAAAATGCACAAACAAGATGATAATGTGAAAACAAAGGAGAAGGAATAGCTAGTTAAAAAGTCAGCAAGAACACCGTTTAGTAAGACAATTCTTATAGAAACAACCAGGAAAAACACTACGAACGACCAGCAATACATGTTTACCAATTGAGAACATGCAACACTTCCTAAAAGTGATACTGATTATTAGTGACAACTGAATTCCCTATCCCTTTATATATATTTAATGATACTACACTTTCTTTTGTCTCACGTAATAAGATCTTAAGGCGCAGCTATCCAATACGAAGAATGCTATTAAACTAATCCATGATTTAGTCCACTGACAATCCAGGAAGCAATTGAAAACTCAACCTGTAACAAATTTCTAGGAAGGTAAGGGTAGCACTACCAAGCAACCCACGGGACTACTGCATGTTGGATTAATTAGTTTTATCTACTTCGATGGGGATTGTTAATCTATTATTCTTGGTGTGACAGCAAGCAAATGCAACTTCATCTAAGCTCTAAAAGATCAATTACAAATACAACGTACAATAAGTTTTGCTAAGTAATTAGTCTTCGACAGGCATACAAAAGGCTGATTGAAAAAACAGCTAAACATAGTTTGTCCGAAACACTAACATGACAACTTAATGAACGGTTTAAGGAATGTATATGGATATTATATTTCAGATCCTGAACTCGGGTCTTTCATAAGGTTCTGTCACCAAAATACAGTCTATCATAGTCCTGTGTTAAATCACGCAGTTATAACTGCAAAGATCTTACCACCATGTTTTTGGAGTTAACGGAAACATACTAATCTAAACATGAATAAACCTGCCAAGAGCAAGATGACCCTGAACTCAATGGTAAAAAGGAAGTGAAATACTTTATTCTTTACCTTTGAGTTCACCTTTGTTGTTGACAATCACACCGGCGTTGTCCTCAAAATAAATGAATACTCCGTTTTTTCGTCTGAAGGCCTTACGTTGTCTGACAACTACAGCATACAACACTTTTTTCCTTAGTTCTGGTTTCCCCTTTTTAACTGAACAAACAATGAGGTCACCAGTTGCTGCTGATGGAAGACGGTTCAAGCGACCTCGAACACCAAACGTAGCTATTACATACAAATTTTTGGCACCACTGTTGTCAGCACAGTTCATTATAGCTCCAACAGGAAGAGCCAATGAAATTCGGAACTTTCCACCAGATGAACCACCCCTTCCTAGTTAAATAGACAACTATAGATACAATCAGGACGCAACAGGTTATGAATCAATTATAATGTGAAACAAAACGAGAAACTCACCACGCTTCGGCATGATGCAGGTTTAACCGCGGTTGAGAAGTAGTGATGGAGGTAGCACAACATAAGTATGTTTGTGTTCAATATAACATTGATTCAGATTATGACAGAATAAATACATGAATTAGTTATGTGATCATATTACACGTTCAAGAGCATTATGTAACATACTTAATGACACCGGCTGGGGTATATAAAAGGAAACTGTTCGGATATTAAAAGCTAATGGTCCAAAACCTAGTATTGTTGGTAAACACTGGTACAATTATTTGCTCCCAGAAAATTTGGTTCTTCTTGTGGTCAAATAGTTCTAGTCGAACTCCATATTAGAAAAGCAATTTTAACCACTGCATTTGTGATTTACTTTCTTCTTACCACTATTATACTGGTAGAGTTAACTGAAGTATTGTATACGAGATTAAATCTGAAAATAATATTTCTCTGGAGTTAACCAAGGGTACAAAGATATTACGGATATTCAGTGTTTCATAACTCTGTTGTCCGTGACACCTTTGCAGTTGGGGTTTCCGAAGCCACTTGGACCAGACGTCAGGAATAAAGAACTTGGGCGATTTACTCGGAAGACAATCGATGTGTCAGTAAGTATACGATCTAAGGTGGTCTAGCACGGAGTACTCAGTAGTGAATGGATGCGGGTGCCTTACTAGGCGATTTCAGCTCGCCTATGCCTAGTAAAACTGATGAGAACCGCACCATTTCTGATGAGTTACTTGACTGCACACTTTGGAGATTTATTTACTGTCACAAACATTATAAAACCTGCATTACTAATTTGAGGGACACGGCGGATAAATAGACCGAAATTCTCAACTCTATGGGTAAGTACGATGCATGTGCACCAAATTCTCTTACTAATCATTTTCGTATCATTGATGTTGAGCAGATTTATTTTCGCTCACCAACAACCCTGAGGTCAAATGGATCGAATAAGTTCTGCCTACAGAGAGAAGTGATCATGCAGTCTTCGTTTTCAAGTTTATTACCGCACTGGTGCATCCTAGGATATCGAATGCCGGCATTTAGGCAATTAACTCTACGGCCCTAAATAAATTTTGAAGAGAGGGACTTAAAACATTGGTGCAAAACGTATAGAGTCACTTCCTGTAGCTATACAATGGAGCGGCAGGTGTAATTGAATACTACAAATCTATCTGAGATAAATGTATGGACACGGTGTATCACTCGGTGGGAAAACCGGATCGACTGAGGCAAAGCTCCATCAAGCGAACGAAGCGACTGGTTTTAGATGGATATCACATAACAGGAATTGTTCGATGGATTTCAGTTTAATTGTGGAAGGGATCTCCTCACAAGTGATAGAAGAAGACTAGGAAAAACCGGGAGTCACAGGAAACTAATTCAGAACAGCCATTACTCTTGAACCCCCTATTGACACATAATAATGTCTGTAAATAGGTTGCTCGCTTCGGGCTTCATTCAGGGTAGCGTACTAAGATTATAAAGCCACATAGATAAGAAAATCAACAGAGCTATTACGGGGTGTTGATTTTCTGTCCTTAGTACAAAATTCAAACGTCAATCCATCTTCACTTGTCATCGATCCGTCAGTTAAAATTATCTACGAAAATCCGACTATTTACGGTTGGGGTGAACTATTCATTTTTTGGGGTTCAGAACTCCCATTAGAACTTATCTTTGTCAATTACAAGGGCGTTACTCTTACCAATCTACGTAAATGATCTTCCTTATGAAGTATTTTTTGAGTTATTGTTTATGGGTGGTATCAATAAACTGTGGAGTGAAATTCGCAAGTTGAATATTGGAGTAGCGCTTCAAGAGCATTTTCTCAAGTTTTAAAGATGAATAGGGAACGATAAACCAACATCTAACCGTAAAAAGTGTACAGTAATCCAGTTGTGGTATCATGCGAATTGGGAACACAGTTAATATTGAGTCACAAAATAAGCATTGGTGTCAAGTTCAAACCCTACAAGGAACGCATTAGGGCAGCGAGTCTTTAGACTTGAAGGTATGAGAGACTCAATCATAACCTAATAATGACTCACAATGTGATAAGTAGTTTTGGACTTTCTCCGAAGCGTTCATTGAAGATCAGTCCCGGAATTTCTTCACATACGTAAGTGGCTTGAGCAAAATATTTTTTGCACAATTAGAATCATAATAGGTCTGAATATGTCAATGTCAAGTTATTCTTGATCAAGGTGAATTTGTATGATCAGTCACTGTATTCATTTGTGTGTCAGAATGTGGGTATGGAAAATGCGAAAAATGTATACTTTTGTAATATGAAGTGATGGGGTTGAAATTAGGTGTGTGGTGTATGTGGATCGTATAGAACGTTAAGAAGATCAAATGTGGTTTTTTTGAATAAACAGTTCTGGTTGGATGAATGTTCGTGTCTTCTTTCCTATTGAGGGCATAGGGATTTAGCATTACGTAAAATGCTTCTGCTACTCACCTCTTTTTACGGTTGGAAAAGTTTTTCTGAATTATTTTGATGTTTTTAATATCAGTTTTGCGAATAATGAAAATAAGATGTACTAGTATTGAGGATTTAACATGTAAACATCATTATTCTACAGGATTATCGAGAGGTTTTCTTATGTAACTTACGTGTTCTTGAGCATGAGTCATGCTCTCATGTGAAGACTCTCCAATATAGAACACATCATAATCGACACAACCTAATTTGTAAGCACAATTTTGTGTATGAGTGAACGGAATCTTATCTTCTATTCTAACTAAAGCGTTTCTTAGGTTGTCGGTTGTCTTATAGAACACTTTGGTTTTGCAATTTTTCAAGATCAGTTGTAATTCTTCTGTCTCACCCTGGCGGTAAGACAAAAGCTTGATACCAATCCAAGAACCTTCACTAGGATTATTATTTACAGGACAGTTATGTTTTATCATGTTTTTAGCAATATTCTTAGGAAAATTAATAAATCATGTGATCATTTATTATATTCTCTTCTTCTTTTAGTTTGTCTTATTCTGAAGTAATGATCTTGGTTGCTCTTCTGAAAGGATTCAGGGCTAGAGAAATTTTCGCACTGAATAGATGCTGATTTGAATGTGTCGATTTTCAATATATGGCTAGATTTAGAATACCATTAAAATTCCTTTCAATTAAACAACCCAAGAAAGGTTGTTCACTATATTTATCTTCTTTTTCTAAAATGAATTCAACTATAACGTTCAATTAAGCTATTCCAATCAAGTTTATGATTATCTTACTAAGTATAAACTGCGTACTACGGAAAAAATTCTAACTCTTAATTTCAAAATCTTGCTAATCGAAGATAAATTACAATTAGGCATAACAGTTTATACTAGCTACAACAATTTACTCTTATACACAGTTGAAGTGAAAGAACATTTTCGTATTCGTCTAGTTTTCTCTACATATTGTAATTAGTTCAGATTATTCCATAATTTGTCTAAATCAACTGAGATCAGTAGTTCCCCCACTTTAAAATTAACCATTACTAAGGTTGTCAGTAAAGTTATAAAACCAGAATCAAAGAAACTAAAGCCGGCAGTTCGCTCTCTGTAATGCCCGACCAAAGACTGGAGCATTATGCCTATAACCACAAGTAGATTCAATGATTTTTTGTAACAGTAAAAATAGAGATCATATTTTTTCTTTGTAACCCTTTACATGTAATAACATGATTAAGATTTATTGTTTCTCTATATCAGTGGTAAGAAACGAATATAACTGTTTGATTTTAGTAATACATACGCTATCAAGATGGTGGAAAAGATTTGTAGCTCAGGTGAATGATTTTGATGGAATTTTGTTCTCTGAGCTGGATGGTTTGGTCGTGAGCGAGAACAAAACTGCATCAAAACATACGCTATCGCTATTATTAGAAATAGGCGCTATCCCTGTCGTCTGTTCTTCTACTTTTTGGCCACGGACTATGATTGAAGATTTTAATAGTGTTACAACATTCTTTTAGGCCATTCTACACTAAATTGGAGTTTTGGTCCGGATTATTATAAAATAATACTATCGGATTGACGTTGAGACTATGATTTACAGAAGGTTTTGAGTGACGATACATTGACCTTGATAATGTCTACATACCGACTGGGTTATAGATTTTTGTGAGGAATCAGGATTAAGGTTTACAGTAGTATGTTAGGATCAGAAGTTAGATTTAGGGTTTTTTTAAATCACAAACTGACATCAACTATAATGTTATCTTAAATCTGAATATTTCGTCCATAAATTGTGGTTTCATCAGATTTATCTTTCTCATCACGCCGTTGGTGTCATCATGTACAGAGAAATCTTTGTTGATCAAGTGAACCCATTTGTGATTGTTACTTCAGAAGGACCTTATGAGCACCATTGATTTCGTAACAGTTGTTCTCATTTTGTTATTTAACATACAATTTTGTTATAAGTGTTACTTGTTATGATGTTAGTCGTTTTTGGTATGTTATTAGTAACTGTGATTATTGTTATAACATGAATAAGCTCTTGTACTTGAATTCATCACATGTCCGAATACATTTCATTAGTCCGATTAGTGGATGACATCAAGAAAAAACTGGACACTTTGATAGACAGTGAATAACAACTATCAGACACTCAAAATGATTCCTGCTTAAACGTTATACCCATAATGCATTCTGCATAGCCTAAGGTGTTTTAAATAAGTGTTCAGTATTGATACATGAAATATTCGGTAAAACATTAGGTTATATCTCTTTGATGTATGATGATAAACTACTAACCTAATTGTATAGTACTAATAAACTTTTAACAAGTAAATTATAAAGCTTCAGTGACAAAATAACTGATTGGTTACATGACTTGCACTTATTAAATACCACTCTAAAAGTCCATTGTTGTCAAGTTAGTTTGTTTGTAAGTGTCACAGGTGATGTTGAGAAAATTGGAGGTGGTTAAATGACTTAGATAAGAAATCTATTGATTATAGTTCAGACACGTTGTAAACTTATATAAATCTAATATGAAACAGTGACTGGACGGTGGTTCACAATCTAATACATTTGATTCATAAGCAAAGTGCTTAAACAATAGGCTTTTAGAAATACAAACTATGGTGAAATTATGGTATAGTGAACACGAACACGAGCGGGCGGGGGGACAATCGAATGTATGTGGTACCAAATTACAGAACTTGTTAATAAAATCTAACAACTATATAGTAAAGGCTCAATTTGCAAACTGTCCATCAATTGTGCCAAAATGACCCAGATTTCATTGTTCTTGCATTTTCATACAAATTGCATTCTGTTTCCATTCTTTACTGTTCGATCTTGTCTGTCTGCTGCCAGACATTCTACTCACGACTAACATCATATACTACTTAAGTCGCCATAAGTAGCACACACCACAAAGGTACTGTAGCAGCTTTTATGTCATTACATGCCTACGGGATTGATTCTAATATTTGGACAGACTTCAGTAAACCACACATCACGTCGCTATTGAATTATATTCACCATACTGATAACTTTGTTCTCTTTATAGGAGATTGTTATAATCAGTAAACAAACCCTTATAGTTATAAACCTATTCGTCTCATGTGTGATTGTGTAGGTATCTAGACCATTATTATTTCATTCAATGTTTGTGTCATCACTGGGCTGTGTATTATGTAGGGTGAATTAAGTTAACGATTGCAAAGAGTCATATGTTGAGTAGGCACATTTACTGTCTTTGTTTTTAATCTCTTAGTCAGTCTGACGAAATGAATATATGAAGTCTAAAAATCTGAAGTACCCTGAATCAACCGTTGATATACATTTCCTTCATACTGATGTGTAGGCGAGGATGATCATGATTGGTTGACAGGTGTCAGATGAGTTATATATTCCCTTATCCTTATCATTACTTATTGCTCACTTACCATTGATTGTTGATTGTTGTTGGTTTGTGTCAGGTTGTTGATGTGGAAATATATTTACGTTGTGGTCAGGCTAATCACGTGTTCTTGATCTGAGTTGTGTTGACGTCCTGTAGAATAGACACTGGGAGAAAATCGATTGTAGATATTCGTTTAAGGTAAATTAACGTCCCATACTTGTAAACATGGAAACCTAACCGTTATAGCATTAGACAAAGTAAAACATGAGCGTTATAACACATACACGTTAAGCCGACAGAATATACACGAAGTAAGTTAGATCAATCTTTCGTTTACACCATCAATTGTTCGATCGAATTAAAGACAGACAACCAGCACAAAATGATGGTACGGAATTCGAACAGACTGTGACATGGAGATATAATGATTTTCATAATTACATCCAATACCCTGTTCTCTCTTTGCGAGATATTAGATATTGATTTGTGCTAATTAGAAATAGACTTTACTTGCAATTAATTGATACCTACGTTATTTCCAACGTTTAACTAAGCACTATGTACATCGTCCAGTTTTCTGTTTTATTGGACACGGCTTTTGATTGGATACTATAAAGCTATTCTCCTGTACGTGCAACTAATAGCCTGGATTAATTTCTAATGCCCAAGCAAGTCAAAAAAAAGAAATAAAGACGAGAATGTGAGAAACAAAGGAGGAACGAGCTAAAAATACTTCTTTTTCTCCTGCAACGGGGAAAATGGTACAACATTTCCCCTTTTTATCCGCTATAGGTTTGAAATATCACTGAATTTATACCGAATTGTTTCCTTTTCGTTTAACTACACACTGAATCATATTCTTATTGTCTTAATTTACGTATAACTGTATGCTCTTAGCCCAACGTTTAGACAAAGTGAACTAGATTTTTAAAAAAAAGTATACATGATTAAATACATTTATTTAAAGAAAATGGTATAGAGTTATAAGGCTATTGGATTTCTATTTCTCTTCATTATGTTGATACTAACCTCTCAGAAAGATATTTAGTAACCAAGTGAATTTCGCTTATGGTGGTTGTCAAAAAAAAATGGAACTTCCAGGTCGCTAGCGTTCATGACATATCTGTTATTATTCTATCATTCAATACATAACTTAATTTTGAATGTTTTGTTTTCACCGCTTATTTTTTATTCAGATACTATCATTTCTGTTATGATTTTATATCCGGCTAGTCATCATGTGATTTATACATGAATCAAAATACGACTTATACAATCTTATCACTGTACTGAACCAATGACGTTCGACCGGTATGAACAGCTTAGCGTCTTTATTGGTCCTATGTCCGCCTAGCACGTCCACTTGAGTCAAAAACACTAATAACAGCACCCACTATGCAAATCGAATCGAATTATTTATTTCAGACATACTGGGTTTATATTACCAGCCTAACAGATTCCATCATACCATGAATTAGAAAATAACATTTATACACAATAAAGCCAAAAAGTGGCTGTGAACGTGGGAGACAGTAATCAATAAACTGAGTATAACTTAAGAACAGCAAATTGTACAAGAATACTCTATAGATCAAAATAAAGCTTATAACAAGTGGAATATAGATATATATAATCTAGTTACTGAATAGTTATACCATAAGAATACATAGATAATATTAGTCCATTAATAAGTCTCAGACGTTACTCGCAATGTAATCTTTAATAGGATATAACAGCTTCAGAGTTAATGTTCATTCTGAAACTCGAATACAGTATCGTTGGCTTCAAACGCCATCGTTTTATTCACTTAGCTACTGACTCTTAATAGCCAATTTCTTGTGCAATGGGGTGAAGTTATATTCACTTGGTTTTGTTTTACTTTTATCTCCCTATTGTTATTTAGGACTTCAATTGATCACTCTCCTGTTTTCAGAGTACATATCAACTCTGAGATGAAGGTACATCTAGCTGACGAGTCCCAAGTAGGACGAAATACGCGTCCTGTTTTCCAATGCTAGCCACTATCCATCCTCGCTTATAATAGAAATAGTAATCAATTCCCAATCATTTGTTCTATATACCTATGATCTTAAACTTTATTTTTAGACGGTAGAAAGTCTTTACCCAGTGGAATACAATCGTATCTATCCTTTTTCATCATAATAACAATATGATTAACTCATTAGAGCAATGAAATGTTGAATTGACACAAAAAAATATTATTAATCAACATGAAAAATATGTAATAAATTTATGCTACTTATAAAATTAATAGTAGTTTAAATACAACAATAAAATAATAATACGGAATTTACACGTTTGATATGTATGGGTTATTATTGAGTGGAATAACGCATTAGTCACTTTAAATTGTTTTACCTGAATAGTTCAATGTTAAAAATGTATTAATATTAAACAAAAAAGTCCCCCTATGAGTTAAGATGGTGTAAATGTCCTTTTTAAAAACTATATTTATCTAATCCAATCATTCCAGCTCCATGTTTAAATGGTATCCCAGTTCGTCGATAAAATGAATCTTCAATAACACATTGACGTCCAAATTTTCTAGATTGTGCAGTTGATTTACTAATTAAATCACCATGACCCCAACCATATTCCATTGAACTAAGTATAGGAAATTGGAATTTATCTTCTAAATTTAATTTATAACGATTATGAAGATAAAGATTCCTGAAAAGATGGAAAAAACTTATAAAGTAAATCAACTTCATATGATCATCTTATGAATTATGACCTAGTGTTGATATGCAGAAATCATCCATAATAAAGCTAAGATAAGCCTTAATCATATAGTTGTAAAACGATTCAAAACAATTACACTAGTGCTATATCTATCAAGGCGTCCAGATCACCTAATTGAGATACGCGCAAAACCGAGGTTCTCAAAACAAAGATTTGTCTACAATAGCGGTTCTTTATTGAATAATACACAAAATCTGGTTACAAACCTTATATTTTGAGGTGTCTGAGGCGTTTAAACATGTTATTTTATATGAAATGAAAAGGCTTCCTGTAACAGTAACATAAAGAATAATTACAACATACGATAGTATAACGGACAGCTGATAGCTGTGTCTAAATTTGATAACAGTGTATGAACAACTGAAACTCGAACCAAGAGCGAAACAATATAGAAACTGTTGCGTGCAAACAAATGCATAAAACTGTGGATAACCGATGTAGTGATTAAAGTACAGTAATTATAATGATAACTACAATGATAAGTACAATAAACGTTATAAGTATATGTAAACAATTCAGAATATTACACTACAACTTGTGTTACAACATAAGTGTAAAACCAGAAGGTGTTTTGTAGAGATTGTAGTAATCTCAATAGTTGAGATCATGAGTCAGTTGAAGCTAGACCATCATGGAAAACCTGGAAGCACTAGACGGCCGTTTCGTTCTATTGTGGGACTCCTCAGCTCAGTGGTTTAGTGGTTAAGAGATTGCGCGCGAAACCAGTAGGTCCTGAGTTTGAATCTCCTTTTGGGGGTGAGGTCATGGATGCGCACTACTGAGGAGTCCCACAATAGAACGAAACGGCCATGCAATGTTTCCAGGTTTTCCATGGTGGTGGTCTAGCTTCAACTAACTCATAATCTTAACTATTGAAATAAGTATAAAAATTGCTGGGAATACAACTGCTTACTGAATATAAATAAGTAGTATAAAACAATATACAAAAGAGTGGAAGAGAAGCGTGTAAGAACAATGTATGACAAACTTAACAACTAGTATAATTTTTAAATGATAAAATAGCAGTACGTAACTCTTTCATAAATTCTAGTAGAGCTCTTTAACTCTTCAACGTTACGACATACAATGTATTCAAGAATATGTTATCTGTTTCTTTGACAACGTGAGAAACGATAGAACTTGTACTTTGTACGTTACTATCGTCCATAATTTGAAGAAAAGGTGCTCTGTTGGCAAGTACTGACATTTTATGAGATCGTGGAGAAGATTTGTAGCTCAGGTGGATGATTTTGATGGAGTTTTGTTCTCTGAGCTGGATAGTTTGGTCGTGGAGCTTTCATCGTTCTTCTGAACGACATCATCAGCACAAACTTCAGATAGAAGACTTCTATGAAAGCTACAAATCTTCTCCACGATCTCATAAAATGTCAGTACTTGCCAACAGAGCACCTTTTCTTCAAATTATGGACGATAGTAACGTACAAAGTACAAGTTCTATCGTTTCTCACGTTGTCAAAGAAACAGATAACATATTCTTGAATACATTGTATGTCGTAACGTTGAAGAGTTAAAGAGCTCTACTAGAATTTATGAAAGAGTTACGTACTGCTATTATGAGGTGAGAGATTCTCATTTCCATCGAGATCAAAAGCTGTATAGTAAATTTGTATGTTGGAGAAATGGCCATAGAACACCTAACGGTTCCTCACAGCCGATTTGATGAAGGAGATAATTTGATTAGTGTTATTATATTTTTTCATGAAGGACTTGAATGAACGCTCAATGACCGGCCTTCTTCTTTTCTAAATTTATTGAATGTTACTGGACTGTTGTTCGTAGGAATGTGCATCAAAATTATGAATGTGATAGTAATTCTTGGATGCACAGGTTAACGGAGGCTGAATTTGAAACAGTGCGACCACTTCTGATTTCTAGGACAGCTTCATTCAATATTGTGCATTTCGATTATCAATCTTATTGAAAGAGCCTGAATGCTCAAGATGTGATGCCGTTTCAGATCGAGGATTCCATTTCCACGGATGTTACACTGCTGTTGATCCAACAGATGGCAGTTACCAACTATGATAGTAACATCAATTTGAATGCTACGTTAAGTAATAATGAGGAAGAAATTGCTTTTTATTAACTTAGAAGAGTTCACTGAATGAGACAATGGCGAACATGCCTATGACAACAAATTATGTGATATTTTCAATCTTGCACAACCACCAAGTGAAACTGCTAATGGAAGTGCTTGAAATTTTTGTTTATGCGAAACAATGTTTCCTTTTCTACCCTTTCAAATAAAATCTTTTTCAAACCCTTTTTCTAGATTGGACCGAACAGAAATCCTGGTAGCTGAGGTAGAGCCATATCCATGCATAGGCTTCCTGTAGATACTACTAGGCTTGTCCAATACATTTTCTTTTCTATTCATAAGTAGGCATAAAAAGATAACCAACCTTTTCTATTCATTTATCATATAGAAGAAAGAGTCCTGTTCAGTTTATGCAAAGATGGTTCCAACATTATCATTTATTGAAACTACAAGTTCCTATCTATAGTTATCTGACAAATATTAACCAGTGTAAAGGGGTTTATATTATCCGACTGTTGACCATCCTTATTTAACATAAGTGTATCCTAAGTGGATGGATTATTACAATTAATTTATACTAAAATAACAGAAATTCGATAGTGTCAAACTCATAGGATATCAGGACTCAGTAGCGTGATGGAAATGGGTTCGAGTCCCAAAGTCAACATCAACATAGATGCAAGTAAATAAAGCTGACGATTCTCAAGAGGTATGAAATATGCGCCATAGATTCTGAAACTAGCCATTATCCATCTTTGTTTGTGACTTAAGGAAATATCGAGGCAATACACACAGGATGCACATATGCCAATTGCAGTCTTAAACATTAATGGAAAGATTCAAGTAAACAATACCAAGTGAATTTAAACTTCACCCCATTACATAAGCTAGTGAGTATCATGACTTAGTAACCAAGTGGATAACTCTGGTGGCGTTTAAAGCGAGCAGTACTAAGTTCGAGTCCCAGACTGAACATCAACTCTGCGATGTAGATACATTCAACTGACAAGTTCCAAATAGTACGAAACGTACATCAAACTGGATTCCACTTCTAATCACTATCCATCTTTGCTTCTCATTTAGTGATATTTATTTTACGAATATTAGTATAATTGAATTCATGACATGAGTGAATTGAAACTAGACTACCATAGAAAACCTGAAAGTATTGAACTGCTGTTTCATTCTATTGTGGAACTCCTTAGTACTGTGCATCCACAAATCCGTCTTGCAAGAATCAAACCACTAATCTATCAATCTGACATACGAACATTTAACTTCCAGACCATTAAGCTGATCAACATCTAACAATGTTATTGCCTAACTTCAACTACTACTACTACTACTACTACTACTACTACTACTACTACTTGTACTACTACTACTACTACTACTACTACTACTACTACTACTACTACTACTACTGCTACTACTACTACGACTACTACTACGACTACTACTACTTGTACTACTACTACTACTTGTACTACTACTACTACTACTACTTGTACTACTACTACTACTACTACTACTACTACTACTACTACTACTACTACTACGACTACGACTACTACTACTACTAATCATAATCATAATAAGCACATTAATCCAATCTTATAAAACTTACCGTCCTTTACCTTCTTTTGATATTCCATCATATAATAATTTCAATACTTCTAATGATGGTTTATACATATCTGGTCCCATTGTATATTCTTCTTTATTCTCTTCTATAATATGCTTATTATCTTTAACAATTTCATTAGATCCTTTCATGGAATTCTCTTCATTCTCTTTTATATTTAATTTAGTAGATAAAATAGTTGACATTTTCGGTATTGTTATATCCATTATATTAGATGGTGTTAATAAATTTGTATTATAGATCTTTTTAGCTTCTTGACATTTTAAAAACCAATTCAATTGTGTTATGGTTTCTTTTTCATATAATTCTTCTAGAACTTTTTGTGATCTTGTATCTGCTGGATAAGATCTAGACATTCTATATAAAATGATATAAAATCAAATCAAATTGTTATAGGTATCTATCCAAATGAATGATTTTTATAAATAAATAAATAAATAATCAATAATTCACAGAGCAACTAATATTAACACCTTGACAACTAAAAAAAATGAATGAATCAATAGAGAATATTGAATTTAATTTTCTATTGGTTCTTTGTTTACTTGGTTACGTAATGTTTTCTTTTTTCTTTTTCTTTCCTTTTCTTTTTTTTTTTTGTAATTTAAAGAAAGTAAAATACAATTTGTTTAGATGAAATTGTAATGACAAGGTTGTTGCCATTAGCAACAATTAACAAACTAATATAATCTATATTATTCAAATATAAAAGTACTTTAAGAATAAAAATAATAATATCTATGATTCAATTACTTACTTACTTACCTACTTACACCTGTTACTCCCAATGGAGCATAGACCGCCGACCAGCATTCTCCAACCCACTCTGTCCTGGGCCTTCTTTTCTATTTCCATCCAATTCTTGTTCATTTTTCTTATGTCTATCTCCATTTCCCAACGTAATGTGTTCTTTAGTCTTCCTCTGCTCACTCGAACTTGAGGATTCCATGTGAGGGCTTGTCTTGTGACGCAGTTGGGTGTTTTCCTCAATGTGTGTCCTATCCACTTCTAGCGCTTCTTCCTGATTTCTCCCTCCACTGGGATCTGATTTGTTCTCTCCCGCAGTAGGTTGTTGCTGATAGTGTAGTGTCTGGTCAACGGATCCGAAGTATTTTGCGTGGACAGCTGTTAATAAACACTTGTATCTTTTAGATGATGGCTTTCGTGGTTTTCCAGGTTTCCGCGCCATACAGTAGAACTGTCTTGACATTTGTATCCCCCTGAAAGGGACTCCAGGCGGAGTTATGATTCAATTGGTTATGTTTATTTAATATCTTATTATTGTATTAAGATTGTAATTGATTAGACTTTTGTTGATATATGTACATTTTATGCAAATTGTTTCATTATTCTTGTAAGTTACAAGTTAGTTTGATACGAGTTTCATCCTATTTAAAACTCGTTCGACTGAATGTAACTGTGTTTGAATATGGATGTTCAGTTGGAGACTTGAAACCAGTATTGTTTATTTCAAATGCTATTGTATTATACACCTAGCTACTGACTCCTGATAGCCAACTCTTTGTGTAATGAAGGGAAGTTATATTCATTTGATGTTATTTACTTGAATCTTTCCATTGATGTTTACGACTGTAATTGATCAGTCTCTTTTATTGGCATATATGCATTATAAGCAAAGATGAATAGTGGCTAGTACTGGAATCTAGTTTGACGCGAATTTCATCCTATTTGTAACTCGTTTGGCTAGATGTAACTGAGTTTGAATGTGGATGTTCACTTGGAGACTTGAAACCAATATTATTCATTTCAAACACCATCGTGTTATTTACTCACCGAATGGAATTAGGTTCGAGTCACAGAGTGAACATCAACTCTGAGATGTAGATACATTCAGCTAACGAGTTCCAGATAGTATGACAAGCGTGTCCTGGTTTCAGCAATATCGAGGCATACGCACAGTATGCACATATATCAATAAGAGACTAATCAATTGCAGTCCTAAATAACAATAGGAAGATACAAGTAAAACAACACCAAATGAATTTGAAGAATATTCTTTTCGGTAAATTCTCTTCAAATTCTACAATTATGTATATTCAAATTAATAATCTGAAAAATGGTCAGGTTAAGGGTAAAGTGTATCGTTTAAAGTGAAAGCATGTGAACTTAGAATTGTCAAACAAAATAGAGTAATCAGAAAAAAGATTTTGTAGATATTATAGTAATTTAATAATTGAATTCATAAGTCAATTAAAGGTAGACCACCATGGAAAACCTGAATGCAGCTGACTAGAGTTTCGTCCTTGTATCGGACTCCTCAACAGTGTACATCCACGATGGTAATGTTAATATGACTCATATGAAATGTTAACTTGAATCAGCTTATATGTCAAGTGAAAATTTTAAGATCCATGATCAGAATAACTATGGGTCAGATATGATGCAATTACAATGCGATCAAATGTTTACTATTAGACTATATTGTGTAAAAAATAATAAGATGGGATGAATGTGAAGTAAATGAATTATGTATTGGAGAGATTAATAATGATGTTTAACCAGTACTACTAATAATGATAATACATAGATTTATAAATAAAGATAACAGAGAGAATTATATTTGATTACGGAAGGTCGTAACTAAGATTACTACTGATTAATTGGTCTTGAGGTTAGCCAGGGGAAGAGAAGCAGTTGAAGATATTTCTTTTGTATGCATAGCTCCGGTTTCTTCATCCGGATGGCTACTGCTTTATCTATTTGAAGGACTTTAAGTCTGAAAAGCTTTAGCAAAAAATTGCTGACTCGATAAATTAATTGAAAAGGATTGGTTTGTACTGGCACTGTGACCAGTTTTCACTAAATGGGTCAATATAGAGCTGTTCACTTTCTTCGCTAGACTTATTCTTAGCCATGTTGGGATGCTTTTGCGAGCATGCAAATGTAAATTCCTAGAACTTTGACCAACATAACTTGCTTCACAGGAACAGTCGAAATGATAAATACAAAATGAGATGGTCATTCTAGGTAATTCATATTTTAGCCTCGGTATCACCAATGGGCGCGTAAAAAGGACATTGATCTTAGTTCTCCGGCATTGAAAATTTTTTCGATTGTTCTGAGTAATCTCTGAGTTAATATTTCGCTAGCTGCATTCCCTCTGAATTGTAGGCGCATGAACAGGGATTTCTTATTTACCGTTTGTATTTTGCTTATTCTCACCATCGTGATCATATATTTAATTATAAACTTTTTTCGGTAACCCAAGGTATTTAGCTCTTCTTCATACGTATTCGATACTAAAAAGAATTTATTGAAAAGAAATTACTTTGTTCAAATATTAGTCTTTTAATATGATAGGGATCTTTAAACAATTGAAAGTATTAATCACATTCTGGACTATATCAGACTAAACTGAATGAACACTAAAGTATATTCATTGATATATCAACCAAATATTATATAGAGGTGCGACATATAAGGGTATATTAGCGAAGGTTGTCTACATATGAGATATAGATCACATATTCAATTGAATTAAAGTCAAGATATACAAAATCATATTATTGTTACCATAAGTAATAATGAAGTTGTTCTGTAAACTTCAAGACATTCAAATGGACATCATTTGTTGTTTTATCTTCAAACACTACTACTCTTATAATTATAGAAAGGATCAATGACAGATACTATTTTCTTTACTACAAAAATTTACACAGAAAAGATCATCGAGCTTTGCTCTCCGGTTTTGGTATTAAATTATATACTACTTATTATATTTTCAGTAACATAATTATATTTATAAAATAATTGTCAAAGAGTATGAGAACAGTAAATCACTGGTTAATCTTCAAAAGACAATCATTTAGTTTTGTGTTGTTGAATAGTGAAATGTAGTCGTACTCATGAAACTTCATCATCTGATGTTGCTCCATTGTGTTGTAGATTAGACTTTTAGGTCGAAGTCCCTGAATATAACCCTACGTAAGAAAACCACCTGCTTTTGATCTGAGCACCCGGACTGTATCACAATTGATACACAAATCAAGTGACTACTATAACGCATATATATATATTCGATACCTCTTTGTATCAACTTACTAATCATTAGTATAGATCATATTCATAATTGTTAAACATGTAAACCCATAATTAAAATGAAACTAATAATTTAACTATAGAAGAAACAATATCCTTATCATTTGAATCAATTCAGGTCAAATTCATTAAATCAATTTAATAGAAAATAATTAAATATTCAGTTACAATTATTGATGATATCCGTTTCCACTTCGTCCCCCTTTCGTTTCCCCTTTCGTTCCCCCTCTTTTTTTTGCTGTTGTTCTTGTTTTATTCTTCTCTTCCGGTATCTTATTACTTAATTAAATTAAAAGTAGTATCCAATTGAATGTTTCTAAAACAGGTTAATAATAGTAATGATTATCTTATATCAAAGTATTACTTGAGGCAATAAAGATATAAATGGTTAAATTAATCATAATAATTCAAAGATAGGATACATGGATATTTCATGTACAGTCAATTATAATTAATAAATGAATTGTCTTTCTTGTCCTTTCAATATTCTAGGTTACTGATTTTTCTTCCTGTTCTTCTTCTTCTTCTTCTTCTTCTTCTTCTTCTTCTTCTCGTTCTTCTTCTTCTTCCTCTTCCTCTTCCTCTTCTTCTTCTTCCTCTTCCTCTTCCTCTTCTTCTTCTTCTTCTTCCTCTTCTTCTTCCTCTTCTTCCTCTTCTTCTTCTTCCTCTTCTTCTTCCTCTTCTTCTTCCTCTTCTTCTTCTTCTTCCTCCTCTTCTTCTCTCTCTTCTTCTTCTTCTTCCTCCTCTCCTTCTTCCTCCTCCTCTTCTTCTTCTTCCTCTTCTTCCTCCTCTTCTTCTTCCTCTTCTTCTTCTTCTTCTTCTTCTTCTTCTTCTTCCTCTTCTTCTTCTTCTTCTTCTTCTTCTTCTTCTTCTTCCTCTTCTTCTTCTTCTTCTTCTTCTTCTTCTAAGGTCGTTTTCTCTTCAACTAAAAGAACAACTTTGTAATATTCCTATTCATTTTGTTTAATGTAAATGTTATAATAGATATGATTCTGATTATTTTAATTATGAAGATAGTGACTAATAGTGGAATTTAGTTTGATACGTGTTTTATTCTTTTTGGGACTTATTAGTTGGATATAATTATATCGCAGAGTTGATATGCACTTCGAGGATTCGAACCTAGTATTGTTCACTTCAAATGCAATCATGTGATTCATATAGCGTATGGAATTGGGTTGGAGTTATAGATTTGTAGAAACATCCAATTGATGAATCCCAAATAAGACGAAATATGCATTCTGCATTCCACTGATAATCACTATTCATCTTTGCTTATAAATCTTATAAAAAGGATACATATATGCTAATAATAGACTAATCAATTGCAGTCCTAAACACCAATGGGAAG